ATATTTGAAGGCTATAGATGTTAAATTGTGTACAGTTTTTGTTACATCAAATTTTCCATCTAGCGAAACAGTGTACGGAATTGCAAAAAGTAGCAAAATTTGAGGCAACTTTACAAGGATCTGAGCAATTTCGGAAAAGCTTTTCCCATTTAAATATAATAACAAAAACGCTTTCAACGTTCTTATTTAACTCTCCAAGTCCAAACGAGGTAAATCTGGAGATCTTGCCGGCCAATCTACATTTAAACGAACTTCCACGTTGTGTTTTAAGCGGGAGTGCAACATTTCAGTCCCTGTTTTACTTTCCACTTTAACCGTTGAAATTTGATATAGCAAGAAAGAAGTTTTTTGAAACGACTGATCAATGTTAGTGTTTGCAAGCGATTTGCAGATTTGTTTATATTTCTATGAAGAAAAACCCTAGTTATACATGTGTTGTAGCGTTACTCAAGATTTAATGAAATGTTCCACGTGTGCTATTAGTAATAATAATTACATATATTTTGGTAGAATGGTTAATATTAATTGTAATGTCCCATCCGACATCCATATATAGTATGTGTTAATATCCAGCTTTTATTTATGATATAACATATAAAGATATTATTTTAGTACTGGTTTGAATGCCGCTTCGTTTTTATTAAATAAATTAATAAATTCGTCAAAAAATTAACTCAATTTTTTGCTAAACCCTTCGATAATCCCAAGTAACAACACCCTTCAAGTAGCAGCTTCAGTAGTTTGTTCACAGTCAGTTATTTTTAAAAGACATGTGAACATTTTTTGGTTTAGAAACGAAATGCCATTTTAAAATCACGATATTTAACAGGAAAATGAGCATTTATTGTCAGTTTAATATTAAAAAAACTTAAAATTTGTTCAAAACCGTTGCAAATCGTGCCTGCAAATACAGTAAAAGTTGCTATTAAGTTTAAAAAATTTCTGCAAAAATATCCTGTTATATTAAAACTAAGATTCACGTAGAAATAACTAAACAAATTAACATACAAATAAATAAATAAAAATCAGGTACTTGTATTTTTGTGTGCGGCACTAGCACTGCTTTCCATCTCTGTCACCACACAGCTTGCTGCGCCCGCTCACCCGAACTCCGACTGGGCAACATTGGCTGCCCCTAACCAAATTTCAGTCTTGTCACTGTCAGTCACATCCAATCTCGACACGTTCTGCAGTTTGAGGATAAACCCAGTGTCTTTTCTGCAAAAAAAACTATTAATAAGCAACGAAAAATCATGGCTTCCCGTTCATCTGGATCCAGGCGTCCAGTAGAAAGCAATCAAACTATCAACTACGTCCAAGCCGATGGCCTGGTAAGTTTTCACTGAAACCGCCCTGTTTGTTGTGGCTCAACTCCTTATTTTACCTCATGCAGGCTGTAATGAAGATAGTGAAGCATTGCCATGAAGAATCTACGACCAACATGGACATTGCCCAAGGCGCCTTGCTGGGCTTAGTGGTGGACAATCGACTGGAAATAACCAATTGCTTCCCATTCCCCAAACAGAGCGATGAGACAATGGATGAAGAAGAGTACCAGCTTGCAATGATGCGCCGCCTTCGCAGAGTAAATGTCGACCATTTTCATGTCGGATGGTACCAGAGCGCCGATGTAGGCAACTTTCTGAGTCTCCCGCTCCTGGAATCTCAGTACCACTATCAGACATCGATTGAAGAGTCTGTAGTTGTTATCTACGACACTCAGAAGTCGGCCAGAGGCTTCCTAACACTCAAGGCATATCGCCTGACTCCGCAAGCAATCGAAATGTACAAGGAGGGCGAATACACGCCCGAAGCCCTGCTGAAGTTGAAGGTGGGCTTTGAGAATCTGTTCACCGAAGTTCCGTTCTTGATCAAGAACTCCCCATTGACCAACATCATGATGTCAGAGCTGAATGAGCTCGTCCCGAAAGACGAGGGTTCGAAGTTTCTGGATTTGGGCACCGCAACCGTATTAGAGAACCAATTGAGAAGCCTGATGGATCGCGTAGATGAGCTCAACCAGGAAGCCATCAAGTTTAACCGATTCCAGCAATTGGTTAGCAGGCAGCAGCAGGACAAGCACCGCTACCTGCAAAAGAGGGCTCAAGAAAATGCTGCTAGAGTTGCCAAGGACGAGGCTCCTCTGCCCGAAGAAGACCTCAACAAACTGTTCAAGCCACATCCGGTTCCACCCAGGTTGAACCCCATGATTATAGCTGGACAAATCAACACATACAGTCAAGCAGTTTCGCAGTTTTGCTCTCAGTCTTTGGCAAAATTATACATTACTCAGGCACTACAGAACGCTAAGGAAAGTACCTCAAATAAATGATAAATAACATTGTTCGTAATATGTATCCAACATTTTTTTTTAAATAAATGATTGAGGCTAAGGGAGTGGGTTCTTAGTGGCCGGGGATAAATTGAAAACACCAGTAATATCTGTAAAGGTGTAGCAATAAATAGACAGCTGAATTACACCAAAAATGATAATGTACAGACAATAATTATAAAGGTATTTTCAGTGGATTGTGGACTTCCAGTCAGGCTATCGGCGAGTTTACGTTGTCGCTCAAAGGGTTCTTGTGATCAGACATGTTGGGTCTTAGCTCGTAATTGCAAATTGTAACCCCATGTCTGTGGGCTTCAGTAAATTGCCCTCTCAGTCCAATATAGTAAATAACAGTGAAGGCTTCGCCAAAATTACTAGGGAAATGTATGGAGAGATGGTTGACATTGTTGAAAGTCACTATTCTAAAACAAGATCGTTTTTCGAAAAAATCTACACGTTCTCTAGTTCCTTACTTGGTTGCGTATTCTAAAACCCCTTCAGTGTCCTTTTGCAATTCGAATTCCTGATCTGCTTCACACGCGACATCATCAAAAGTCATAAATTCGCGATTTTTGAAACTAAAAAAAAAATCTCAGTGTCTGGACGCAGTACTGAAATCTAGTTTTCACCAGCTTACAGTCTCATTCTAGATGGATGAGCATCCGTACTATCACCAATAACGATGATTCCCGTCAGCTTCACATTGCCAACAAATGGAATGTTAAACAAAAGCTCTTCATCCATATCAGACTGTACAAACTAAGGCCGCTGATTAAAGTCCAAGCTCTGAACATTATCAGGCAAAGAACTCACCATATCTCTGTTCAATCTGTTCTCCCACGCCTTAAACACCGTTTTTCCGGAATCGCGAACCATTTCATTCAAACACTCTAAATCGTTGGTGTTGATTTTAGTGTACAAACTGTATTGGATGCCCCTTTCAGCCTCATCATGGTTGTGAGTGGCATCTTCACAGCATTTGTTGTGTGGAGCCATTGTAGTGACGGGGAAAACAGTCACAAATTGAAAACAAATCTCTTCTTTATGGATGCTTCAATGCTGCTTTCAGCCAGCTCATTAGGAAAATGTTTACCTGCAGGACCCCCTGTGTCAACACTCACATTAAGGAATCGTACAATAATCCATTAATCCATGAAAGCTTATACAAAATATGTTTTGAATAACTGGGTACATGTTTAGTGGGGAAGTAATTTCGTTGAATATGGAATGCAGAGAAAATACTAACGATGATTGCCAAAGGTCGAACAAAACGAACGTTTGAAAAAACTAGACACTTCAATGACAAAAAAATCTAAAACATTCGGGCAAAAACTACAACCATTAAGCTTCATGAATAAAAACAGTGAAAATAATTTAGATAAATCGTCAAGATTCTTACCGAAAGTAGAGAAATCTGAGATTAAAAACTGAAAGTTCACTTGCGATCAAAACATCAAGCCACAAATGTTGTCAAAAATTTGTCTTTATCTGTGCCCAAATGGATGTTGTCACATTGATGTTGTGTTTTTTGTGGTTGAAAGTGTCAGGGTTGAACATTTGGCAGAATCTATGCGGATCGGATTAAACTATTCTCACATGACAGCTGCTATTGACGTTTTGAATCTAATATTTAAATTTATCGCCGACTATAGTCGCTTGAAGCAAAGTCGTCTAGCACTTTCCAATTTGAAATAATTTTTTTTATAAAATTCCAAACTGTACCCACACTGTATCAGTCAAATGTGGACATCGTACATGTAGTACACGTGTAGACAACCCAACTTACTCGAGCCGGCATAAAAATATTCAAGCTAGTGCTGCATATACAGGGTGATTAAAAATTGGCGTCATTACTCTGGAGGTGTTGTATCGCGGTGCCTAAAAAAGCCATTTAGTTATCTCTGGA